AAAAAAAAAAAAAAAGAAATGCGATAGAATCCAATAAAATTGTGATGGATTATTGCCTAATGTATTTGACTGCTGCTTGATAACAACAATTTGTGCATACAGGGAAAAAACCTTAACAAATAATTAATTGACCAAAGCATCTGAACAGTAGAACAAAGATGGCGTTAATGGACGTGAGTGATGTTGATTAAGATGGCTGTGATGATGATGTCGTTGATGGTGATGATAATGATGAACGATAAGCATCAGTGATGACAAATCAAAACTGTATTGTCTGTAAAGATTAATAAGCAAATCAAAAGCTCTTTTTTTGTGTGTTCGCTAAATTTAAAAAAGAAAAAAATTTGTCTAAAACAAACAAACAAAACACAAAAAAATAAATATATAGCAAGAAAAAAAAAAGAAAGAATAAAATTTATCGAATTTAGACTATTATCCGGATAGCCGGATATGCCAAAGCTGACGAAAGGAAACGGAATTTGAAATGAGGTAACCAGCCGGCCGTTCCGATTATTCTGTTTGCCTTTATCGCTCTTCAATTTAACCATTTTGTCATCTAAAAAAAAAAACACCATTCAGTTTACAGCTGAAAAAAGAAAAAAAAAACTCGGCAATTTTTTTTCTTCATTTCTTTTCAAACAAAATTTTTCATAAATAGAAGGCAAAGAAAGTTTTTTCTTTTCAAATAATAAATAAATGGTATATTGGTGAAAAAAAAAAAAAAAAAGAAGAGCATTACGAATGAATACCGATTGCAGTCATACAAAAGAACAGAAATTTGCTTCCCCTTCTTCTCCTCGCCGGTAACAACTTTCTCAGACTAATCACCAAAAATACAGTACCAAAGATACCAGAAAATTGTAAACGAAAAACCTTTTCAACAGCTTCTGTCTCCTCTTTTTTTCTTTCCTTCCGAGAAGAAGAAATTTTCATGTCTGATTACTGTTTGAACGGTTTTGCATGTCACACTTTTCGAGGGTGAAAAGAAAAGACGGAAAAAATTTTTCAAAATTAGGTGTGTAAATTTTAAAGAAAAGAAATGGTGCAAGAAAAAAAAAAAACAAAGTGTTTCTTTTTTTTTACTTTCAATTTTCTTGACTTCTTTTTTATTGGTAGGTTTAAAAGAGGTTTTTTTTTTTCTGCAGATATACATTCGAAAAAAAGCAGAAAACAATCGATCTGAACACTTCTTACCACAATTCAGAACTATCTTTTGGAGTTTTTTTCTGTGTCGATAGTCTTTTCCACCCACCTACCCTAAAAGTCGTCTCTGACTTTAACAGATCCAATTACCTCCTCAATCTACGGTGCTGAAATCTGTAGTTATAGCCGATGATCTGATGTGATCAGTGGCAGCTAATATGTATCTGATGAGAGAAAATCATATGTCAAAATCCTGAAAAAGCTTACAGAAGGCTTAAATGCCAAAGCAGGAAAAGAGTATAAAACGATGTTCAGTGCTGTTCTATGCAAACTGTAACAGAGAACAGTCGTAGTACATTGGTTGATTAATAAAGTTTATAAAACCAATATTGTCAGTATGTTAAAGAAAAAAAAAGAGAAACTTTATATTGTTTTCTTTGTTGTTGTTGTTGTCTTTCGTATAGAAGATGCTGATGGAGTAGTGGAAAAAAAAAAAGGTATTTGAATACCGTCAACAAATTTTGAATAGGACTGAAATCTGTTTCGCTATTGATAAAAATGCTGCTGAAAAGAAAAAAAGGTACTGGAAAAAAACATAAATTTTCATCTTCTTTCAACATTTTTCTCTCAAGAATTTTTTTTTCATTTTTTTCTCTACACTTTTGTTGCTGCTTTTTATTTGTTAATTTTAAATTATCAAATATAAAAAAAAAAGTTTTTTTTTTTAGATGTTTTCTTTCGATTAGTGAACAAAAACATCAGTGAATCTGATCCAATAGCCAGATATCTGTATCGGTTGTATGTAAATGTGTGTGGAAAAGATGACTAGGATATGTAATATAGTGGGCAACGGGATGTTAAACTAACGATGGAGAGAAACGAGGTGTTTGTCCGAATTTGGGGCAACACCGATTTTTGTGACAAACAGCAAAAACCGGCGTCTTAAAAATTGTTCATCGAAAAACCTTTTTCCTTTCTTTCCGCACTTCATCCCAGACGTCATGCGTATTTTATTTTTGCTTCTTCTTTTTACATTTGTAAAAATTTTTTGCTATGCCCAACGTACATTTGCCAATGAAAAGTTTGACCTCAGTCCTGACCTACCAATGGAATCCGTTGATACCATGCCACAATTTGTTACTGCTGAACCCGAGATGATGTTACCAAATGATTTACAAATGCATCGTACTTTAAAACCCGGCCTACCAGCTATATCACCCAGTAATGCTCAAGTTATTCCGCTGTCACCAGTTTCACCGTCGTCTGCTGCTGCACCTGCTGTTGTTTTAACTGAAGTTAAAGCAAGAGATTTAGTTGATAGTGTTGTCGTTACCGGTGAATCAATGAAACCAGGTGCTGTAAAAATTCAACCAATTCAGAAAGCTAGTCCAGAAAGTAGCGCTGTAAAAAATCCACATAATATTTCCAAGAAACCAACAGTAGTACAGCAGCAACCGACAGCTCCCAACAGGAATCAAGTGTCTGAAAAAAAGCAAAAAAATTTACCGATTGAAAAGATTCCACCAACGACGTCTACAGCATCAAAACAACCAACAGCTGTTGCCAGTAATGCAAAAAATTTGACTCTTATACCAACAGCTGTGTTACCCGAATCAGCCGAGAACGCTAAAGGAATATTGGTGGTTCCAGTGGCTCCGTCGTCAAATCAGTCAAAGCAACCAATTGAGTTGGTAGAGCTGGTGGAGCCGCACCTACCAGTCAAGCTTGCTTCAGATTTACCAAAACCCAAACAACGATATAACATGGTACCAACGGCTCCATGGTATCAAGAAAGTTTCAATACTACAGGTAGACTACTTTGAGCTCAGCAGTTTCTTTGATATTTAATTTTTTTAAACGGAAAACTGCTTTATTCTTACTATTTCTTTTCACTTTAAAAATTTGGTTTCAATAAATAAGCACTAATTTTTTTTTAAACTATTGATTTTTTTAAACTTATTTGCTTTTTATTACTGTTTTGCGCAAATTTTTTTGAAGATTTCTTTCTTCTATTTTGGAGTAAAAATAAAAAAGTTGAATTTACAAAGAAGACTTAAGTTATAACAGAATCAAGATGAATACGACATTTTGAACAGGTTTCTCATTGTTGAACTTAAAATCTGCCATCATTTTTTAACAAATTGAAAGTGCTCTCCTTTTTTTTTTGCTGTTCTACAAGAAACTATCTGCTGACAGATTATTGTAAACATTTGTTCATACAGATGAAAACTTAAAGTTTGCTTTTTTTTTTGTTTTTTAGCTATTTTAAGAATTCAAAAAACCAAAAAAAGAAAGAAAAGATAAAACATGATTTATTCCCTCTTATTTTTCCTCTACCTTTTGTTACAGCACAGAATCTGTTGTGACGATAAAGTGACGCCTAAAGATTCTGTCA